TTCACAATATGGAGACCACTGTTGGAAAAGGGGTAGGAAGAATTCCAGATGCCAAGATCTGCATGCTTTCCTTTTTTGTTCTCTCTTCATGAAGGACCATTATGGTAAGGCAGGGATGAGGAAGAAAATAGGTTTTCATGTTTTCCTAGAAGTCATTACCCAGTCACTTCACAATTCTTTCCAATTTCTTAACTACCTTCACTTTTCAATGTCTAGATCTAAGATGGAATTATTTGTACTTCTCTAGGTGCAAAGTTCCCTATCAAATGGACAGCACCAGAAGCCATTAACTATGGTTCTTTTACTATTAAATCAGACGTGTGGTCCTTTGGAGTTCTTCTGTATGAAATAATTACTTATGGAAAAATTCCTTATCCAGGTTGGTGCTTCTTCCTATGTACAGTATTGGTTTGTTTTGTTTTTACCATATAGGGAAGTATCACAGTCAATAAAAGGTATGTGTTGAACATAGTTATTTGGTGAAAAGGTAAAAGAAAAAGATGGTAGGAAAGTATGGCTGCAGCTACATCAGGTGGAACAGTGTTTTATTATTCAAGCCATAATAAAACACCAGTACAACCCACAAGTAAAGTTACGTAACTAGAGTTCAGCCATTTAGGTTACTTCACTAGTTGCATCTTTTGCTAGACAATGGAAGTGTAGATCTGATTATTCTTGGATAATGGAATAAATTGCTCCTATTGTTGTGGGCAAAGGCGAAAATGTTTGCTTTGGCCCATTACTGCTATTGCTGAACTGGATGAGGAAAACCAATTGCAATACTCAGAGGCCAAAACAATTGAGGTTTGGTCCTACTCATTCCCAGGTTACAAGGAACATTTATTAACTGAGTACACAACGGCAAGTTTTTTCTTCAAAGCTTAGAAATAAGAAATGTAGATTAGGCTTTTGGAAAACAATATGCCCCTTTTTGTGTTTTGAAGTTTTTATTCATTTTCACAAATAATTTATTTAGGTTAAAAAAATTACCTAAATATTGCATTTCTCCAGTAAGCAAATCCTGCCCATTTTGTGAATCAAATGGATATAAGCACACGATTTACCTTAGAAATGTATATTTTCCTTTTCTAAATCAGCTCTTCTCGTACCAATCATATTAAAAATAACTTTTACTTTTTTAAAAAAATTATTTCAGGTATGAGTAATTCCGATGTAATGGCAGCCCTTCAACGTGGTTATCGCATGCCATGCATGGAATCTTGCCCCTCTGAGCTTTATGATATTATGAAAACATGCTGGAAAAATAAAGCAGAAGAGAGACCAACATTTGAATATTTACAAAGTGTCCTTGATGATTTCTACACAGCTACTGAAGGACAGTATCAGCAGCAACCATAGAAAAAAAGAATTGTTTCTCTTCATTTCCAAATGGCAGGGACCTTTTAATAAGACAATGTGATTGAGCCAATTCTTTTATACTTACACACATACATGTGTTGGGATACCCTAATTGTTTGTGGTACTCAAAATGGAAAGCTAGAACTCAAGTGGGCAAGACAGATTATCAACATCTTGCTGAAGGCTTAGAAGTTTTTCTTCTTCACTGATGCTTTCTTTGTATTTATATTAAGTAAACAACTAGTTGAAATGAATTATGGTATAACAGATCATCATTCTCTGTATAAAATCCTGGTGCCAAATCAAAACTCCATGAAGGAAATCAACACTTATTCCAAATAACCCTGTGCAACATGTATCTGGGAAAAAAATAGTTTTATGGCTGAGCTAGAAGTTATATGAGCTCCTGCATTTTGTTTACTGAAAAGCTGCAAAAGTTTGGAGGGAATCCCTTTATCATTCTACCATTTCTTTGCAAAAAAAAATGTTTTTGTAGAAATCTATTCTCTAAGCATGGCTGAAAATTTTTCTTTAAAGGTATCCTTCAAAAATGGGTAGTATGAAATATGCTTGAATTGAAAAGAAAATATCACTTTAGAATAATATTTTGTGTTTTTCTGGAATTTAGCAGCTATTTTCCATTCCTAGTTTTTTCCCCCTCTGATTATGTCATTTTATTAACTGTGTTTAGGGAAAAAGCCAATTAAAACGTTTAGCTTTAGAAATACAATTGCATATTGCAACTAAAAGTAGTATGTTTTGGCACACACAAATTATATGGTGAAAAATAATTGAACACATTTTAAGTAAGAGTCCTAGAACACAATTCATAGAAAACAATATGTCTTCCAAAGACACAATACTGTGCATCAGGATTTTAGTAATTCTACACCACCATCATCCCACGCACACATGTCCTGTATAATATATTGGGAGGACAGTGTTTTGGGTGAATCTTCTGAAATGCTTTTCACCACTCCATTATCAGAACACAATGATTATACCTATGCTCAGTAGTGCTGGTCAATACTGTTATATACTTTTAATGAAGAAATTTATTTGGTAGACTGGTAATCAGACTGTCAACTTGTAAATACAATTTCAATGTTTTTGTGATTTTAATAAATAAGCATTATTGAAAATCTGAACCAATATAAGGTCAATTTCTTATTCCTTATTACAATAATGGACAGCTTCTTTAACAAATTAATTCTCCTGGATTTACATATCTGTTCCAGAATATGATCCATTATGCTGGAGTTTGAATACATCAAATAGTCCTAGTTAGCTGGTCAGTGATAAAGGATGCTAGAAACTGTCCTTAGACAATATCTGGAATATCACAAATTTTGATTTTTCCTGTAATGTATCTTCTCTTATAATCATTACAAGATATGCTCAGTTACATCAATTTATTAAATTATCATAAAATAAATATTTCCATAAAATGTCTTTTCTAGCTCTTATGGTATTTTTTTGTTTCCTTGGAATTTTTAAAATATATTCTACCATGGACCAATACATCTAGATTTTTTTAGAAACCAATATGAATTTTTGAACAAATAATAACTGCAGAGAATGAAAGCACCTCACTCATATATACCCCATATACTTCTGACAGCTTCTACAAAATATCAGTCTTCTTTTACTAATTAAATATATAAAGTGATGCAAATTTCATGTCTTTAGAATTCTCTATGTTTTATTGCACTTATATGGAAAGGGAAAAATTAGAGATTTTGGACATGTACAAAAGAAATATAATAATTTATTAGTGTCAAACAATTAGTCATAATAGTATCAAAATATAAACATGTCAGTTATTAAAATTGTTGTCCTGGCTGAATTCCTGGGAAGTAAAAACAGAAGTAATCTTTGCACATTTTCACAATGGTTATAAACCTAAACTATGTGAATGTTAAGATCTAAATATTATATGCACTGTTACAACAATTAAAAAAAAATAAGTTTACAAAAGAGGAAAATGGGAATATAGGAATTTTAGAAGATTTTAATGTAAATATTATTTAGCATGCTTCCCTCGTCCACAAGATATATTGGTAGAATAACTCTTCCTGACACAACAGCAAATTCTGTGGGTTGTAATCCCACCATCAGGAAAATGGCAAATTTGGCACCAAGATAAAAACAATTTGTTTCAAGTGAATTCTTTTATGCCCATGTTATCAGGAACAAAATATAGGACAATTTATTCCTTTTCAGATTAAGTTTATATCTCTATGGTTTCCAATTTTATAAATTTTGATTTAGTATGTCCTGATCAATATTGTTTTATGTGCTACTGACATCAATTTGGGTGATGCAGAAAGTGACTTCTCAGGTTTTTGCAGTTTTTACTTTTCAATGTCTTAGGAACATCTGTTACTAATATTTCAGACTTGCAAAGAAGCCCTTTTTTGATTTATGTTGCTTAATACTTTCTGCACTTAATAGACCTTTGCTTTCCTTTAATTCTTCTTGTAGGTGAGATAATGTGGCATCAGGTTCATGGTCACATTTAGGCCTATTTTGAAGGCCAATGGTTTCTTGTTCCTATGAAAGCAAGATTTGTTTAAATAGAATTAAAACATTGTCTTTTTAATCCTACTGCCCTAGCTTCTTCCAAAACTGCACATCCTAACTAAATAATTTTCCCCCCTAAAAATATGGGAAAGAGACACTCCAACATTGCTGTCTTCGCTCAATCTAGCACAGGGGTCCACAAACTTGGTGACTTTAAGGCTGGCTGGGGAATTCTGGGAGTTGAAGTCGACAAGTCTTAATGTCGCCAAGTTTGGAAGTCCCTGGTCTAGTGCTTAATTGTAAAGTAGTCATGGTAAGCAAAGTAAATAGAATTTGGATATTCAATTTCACATGGTTGTTCAAGGTTCTGAAAAGGCACCACAGCCATTTCCAAAAAGTATTAATAACCACCAGGATTTATTCCTATCAGAGTAAACAGAGTGCAATTCCATTTAGTGTCTTCTATTGGAGTTGCTTAGATAGTGAGATGGGATGCATATTCATTTAATAAATGAGTAAAATTATAAATGGTCTTTAACAATCACTCATTCAATGTCTGTTCAAACTTGAAACAATTCTGTATGAATGGCAGTTAGGACAAGATTTTGGACTTCTGGACATCAGAGCATAAATTGTGGTGATGTGATTTATGACTTTTCTAACAGCTTCCCACAAGAAAAATCAAAGGGGAAGCTTGCAGAAAGTTGGAAGTTGCAGTCCCATGAGGGTAAGGTTCTTACTTAACAACACACACAGTCCTTGTTTAACAATGGCAACCAAGACCGCTGAAACTGTTGGCTCTAAGTCATGCATTTTTGGACTTTCAATCCCATCACTTAAAAATGAAGTTTCCAGTCTCAATTAGCATTGTTAAGTGAGAATTACCTGTATTCACCATTACCTTTTAACTGAAAAAGCAAAATCAGTGAAGAAGCTAAAATGATTTTAAATAAGGCCAAGAGCACAGAAGCCTTTGAAAAGCATATCTCAGAATATTAGAGTCTTGTAGCAGAACACATATCTCTAAATACATATTAAATAGATATGTGACCAACTTTAAGCCTCACCATCTGCTTTAATGTGGTGTTCTCAACTATTTTTCTATATTCTTCTTTGGCATCTTGCAACATTTCATTTAACTTCTGAATTTTCAATTTCAGTGATTTTATTAACTGCAAAACAAAGTGTTTGAAAGTAATGAGAATAATGCTATAATCAACTGCCAACTTATGGTCTTTCATCATACTACATGAAACTATTAAAATCTCGATAAAATATAAAATCTGGATAAGTTAGGAATACAATATTCTAATATGCTGGCAAATGTTGTGAGTCGTATCCAATCCACTGGGGAAAAAGTCAGTTGGAAAAGCAAATTTAACTTAGTTACAACTTGCTTCAAAAGAATCCTTGACCTTCTTCATTTTCTTCCAACACTTGAACATTATATATGAAACAGGGCTTTAATAAACTTCTCTAGAAGTTATTGTTGAAATGCCTATTTCAGCTTCTGTCCTATTTCTTTGCTTTTCTTTTGTATCAATCTTTAAATTCTAAGCCTGCAGGTAAGGCAATGACTGCAAAAAAAATTGAGTAGCTGGTCTCTTGATGACTGTCCATGTGTCAGAATTCCTCTAGAGCCAACAACAGCAGATTTTGTGATTGAAGCTGCACCTTCAATGAATAGCTCAATTATAATATAGCAAATATGTAAAGTCTAAGTGCAGTGAGTCAGTTCACTTCATCCTCAAACCAAACAACTTTGGAAAGGTTGCTGTCATGCACTGGGACAAGATCCATAGTTAATTTTATACACCCTTGCAATCATTTCATATGTTCATGAAATACTCAAATTAATGCTCAAGACTTGTCCTATCTTTCAAGATATGCAAACGTGTTTAATAATACTAGAATTATCTACACTGAAATCATGTTTTAAATGTTTTTTTCTGGAACTATGTATCAATTTAATTCTTTTCCTATTTTTTCTTTTCAATATTTTTACAATTATTTTACTGCTATATATATTTTAATCTATATAGAGAATGATTATGATAATGTGCATTTTAGATTACAAATTGCTATTAGTAGTATTTTTAAAATAAACAAAGTTACCTCATCTCTCTGTAAAGCACCTGAAGTTTCTTCCATCATCTTGCATTGAGCATCTGTGAACACCAAACAAGGGTAAGAATACTGACCTGCATTGTAAATTATAGGCAAGCTTAGGACACAGATTTCTTACCTAGATTCCATTCTGTAGAGTTTGAACCGGGAATTTCCAAAGGCAGACTATTTTGTTCTCCAAGTTTTAGTTTCAGCTCTAGTATTTTCATTTCTCTTTCCTGAGCAATAATATTCTATAATAGTTTAGGGCTTCATACAAATCACAACAGTTTTAGAAGTGCAAGAAAAATCATTTTGAATGTTGCTCTAACATGATTCTTCTTCATCCCTCCTCCAAAAAAATGTTATTTAAATGATAATTCAAAACCTATTTCCTTAATCAAAATGAAACTTTCTAAAAAGCACAAAAAGCCATTTTTTGCTTCATGCTTCATTCTGTTTTGTCTTACGGGTATTGAATGAATAAATAATTTTATTTCTAAAAGTTTTTTATACTTCTGCTTGTGTAAGCAGAGATTTTATGAAGTTATGCGGCCTTGTAAACATGACAAATGTGACCAATCAACAAACAAGCCATTCAGTGTACTCTGAGTTATACAGTATTTTCATTATTTACATTTACCAAACTATACTTTGGGATAGAAATCCTGGACATAACTATACAAAAATCTCAAAATCTACAATAGGTTAAATCCAGGCATACCTGAACCTTTTCTTGTTCAGCTATGAATTCGTCTATTGGAACATAACGTTCTTCAACTTGATCCATTGCACATGTATATGCATGCTTCTTTATGGCATCTTTATACATTACAAATTTATTCTCCAGTTTTTCTTCATAACTTTCTTTCAAGTCTTCTAAGCGTTTACTAGATCAACAATGTGTAACAACCAGAACACAGATAACTTTTTAGCGTTTAATTATTGCTAAATTCAATTCCTTGCTCTGTTACTTTGATTTCAACTGGTAACCATTGACAAAACCATTGACAATAATCAATATAATGCTAACTAGTTTCAGGTATCAGCTGTTTGGTATTTCCTTTTACATATGAACTTGGTCAGAACTTTCCATATCTGGATCAGGTTACTGATGTAAGCTTAATACAAGAAGTGCATGTTCATATTCAACTATTCCCCGCTTCTCAGATAATGCATCTATAAAGGAAACTATTTGTAGCTCAGGGTTGAAATGAAGGGTCCTTGGTGCTCTCTGAGCTTTGTTTTCTTACAGACATTTCATTACCTAGACAAGGTAACATCATCAGTGCCAGTTCAGTGAGTCCCAAGGACCCATAATGCATCTATCTTATTCCCCCACTAGTAAATAGAAAGAATCATCTTCATCAATCCACTTGCCTTGTCATCATTTTAGCTTTGCTTGAAATACTTCACAAAGTAAAAAGAAAAATTGCCTTCCAGTTAAACTCAGTTCCTGGGGAATTACATAAGCAAATTCATGCATTATTCTAGGCACAATACAGAATGAATGAATGAATTCTTTATTGGCCAAGTGTGATTAGACACACACAAAGAATTTGTCTTGGTGCATATGCTCCCAGTGTACACAAAAAGAAAAAATACATTCAAAATGATTTGCCATTCCATCTCCTTATTCTGAGTGTTGGTTTGTTATTTGTTGTTTCTAATTCTCCATTCTACCCTGAAAGCATGGATTTTCCAGTTGGTTCCTCCATCCAGGTCCTAACAAGGTCTAACTTATTTAACTTAGCAAAAGTTGCCTGGCTTTCGCCATCAGCTATGAGAACATTATGCCTATTGATGTTTTTATTTAGCTAGTTATATCTTGACACTTACTATACCTCTGATAATTCTATCAAGGGAAATCTTAAATAACCTGGAATAACCAGAAAGCAGAAAAGATACTGTAAGGCTAGTTTGACTCCTTATCAAATCCGTTAACAAGGGCTGTTAGTGAATTCCTCTCTCCGTCCATTGAAGATGTAAACACCAAGAGCACTGATTCTGCAGCACCTTGTGACTTATTGATCAACCTTGGCAACCTTGGCAACTTTAACGTGCATGAACTTCAACTCCCAGAATTTTACAGCCAGCCATGCTAGTTAGGGAATTCTGGGAGTTTAATTTTTATTTATTTATTTATTTATTTATTTATTTTATTTTTCAATAACTTACAAGATAATAAACATAAGTATAAATACAGGAAATGGATATGAATAATTGGGAACAATAGAACAGGGATGGTAAGCACGATTGTGCGCTTATGCACGCTTATGTGGAGTTGACATCCACACATCTTAAAGTTGCCAAGGTTGACAAACACTGAGCTAGAGAGTTAAGAATTTTCTGCACTGTGTCCAAATTATTGTTAGTTTGGGATTACTTATGTCTATCTTGTTTTCTTCCCAGGCATGTGCTCTTGGACTCTCCTGGTATAGTATCTAGCTAGGTGATTAGCATAGCTTGTATTGTATTTCTTGTGAACAAATATCCTTTCTGTTATAATTTTCACTTTCAGGAATTGTTTCATACACAGAATGCTTTGCATTTGAGTATCCACTTCTGTCTTTGTTTAATAGTATTTCCACTGAATATGAGTTTTTTCGTAAACAGCAGAATTCCTTCTGATATAATACTTCATAAAACATAAATGGTGTACAAAGCCTTGATCTAATAGTCCCTTCCAAATAAACATACATGAATAAGCCATGTATTTTAGCTTTCTAAAGATGGAATGACCTTATTGATAGTTAGTTGGATAGAATATGGAAATGAAATAACGCATTAAAATTAGAAGTTCTAATCTCATAAAATACTCCACAAGATTACCAACGTTTTCTGTGTGTTACAGAAGCATAGAAGTGTTCATAAGACTTGGAAATGATGTGGAACAGCCACAACAATTGCCATAAAGTTTTAATTTTAATAAAACAAAATGCAAATAAGTTTTAATCTAATTCTTTTGAAGTAACATAAATAGCTGCTATACAAAAATAAGGTAGATAAAGTGTCTAACTTTGCTGCAGTTCATATTCATAACTTGATGTCTTTTTATGCAACTGCTGATTCATTTGGCTGCCCTTGAAATGGGACAGGAAGATGACTTTTGTCAGTCCTACCAATATAACTTTCTATGGCATACCTCCAAGCTTCTTCTGTTTCCATAAGTTGCTGAAACATTGCTTTGGCCATCTCTTTGCGTATTTCGACTTCAAGAAGTAATTTGCTTTGTTTCTCGGCAATCAGTTTACTCTTTAGCATCTCTGTGGTTTTCAAGAGATCCTACAATATCAACATGAATCACATATAGAAACATGAAAAAAATGGAAGTGATATGGTACATCATGCACAAAGAAGTCAAACCTAATATTGGAATCTCACTAGCCAGGAGACTTATTCTTAGATGTTTTATCTCAGGTTGAGCAGTACTACTAAAAATGGCCCAATGTATTTCACATGTGAACTGAATTGATTTTAAAAGTTATTCTACTAAAAGCTTAGCCTAATTAAGTATATTATATTTTGTTGAAATAAATGGAAAAATTATTACCATTGTACTAGTAGTTGAACTAGTTACTAATGCTATAACTGTTCATGCAGAAGTCAGACGGTGATTTCTCAGCTAAGAATGGATATTGCATAGGACCGCAGGAATAAAAATATACAGTGTACCAGTGACTCCTTCTGTTTTACTGCAAGTTTGCAGATGTTTCAGAATGAAACTGCAGGCAAGGAACATAATGCTTAAATTCCTGCCATTCTCATTTGGTTTCCGAAATTCATTAGTGGTGATGAGCAATTGAATATTTTTAAAGTCTTTATTCTGGATATTGAATTTCAGAAAGGAAATATATGGGAGAAGAGCTCTAAATCTAACATATGCACCCACTCCAGTCTGAATTACAAGCTTGTGTAAAAGATGCAGTCTTCTTTAATTATATTTGTAGTTCTTTAGGGAGGTTCCTAGATAATAGAAAGCTATTCTATCTTCTAAAAAAAATCAGGTACTTCAAGAGAATGACGCCTAAATCAGTGGCTTTTATTGCAAGATGATAAACTTTCTCTGCTTTTTTCTGACTTTATTTCTACTTTCACATTTACTAAATTTACTACTAGGTCTATGACACAATCAACATGTAGTCTGAGTTTACTTATCAACTTTTCCAGTTCTTTTGCAAATGCACAAACCACATCTAACAGCTTTGAGTTGGAAAAGTTATGGGTTCCTTCATTTCATCGTACCATAAGACATTTGGTACATTAATTAAACCATTTTAGATTTACATATTGCACCTTATGGTTTACAACTTTGTTTTCCAACCATCTATAATTTACATAACAATTTTTTGTCAAACAAAGCACAATGATCTTTTTTTCACTGAACATACTTTATTGTAAGGAATTGGTTTTTGACTACCTCGTGGCTCAGAATAGTAATATCTATTTCCTCATCTTCAGAGGAAGAGGGAATGTTGGCATAAGTGGGAAATGTCTCAATTGATGCATCATCAAAATGCACTGTAGGTTTATCTTCTCTTCTGCTGTACTTTGGAGGAAAATAATCGAAGAGTTTGTGTTGAAATGTTGGAATAACCTAAAACACATACACACAAAACACATTTTAAGATTGATTAAAATGGTAAGATCATTTATTTTATTTTGTTTTTTGTCTTACTTTCTTTGGATAACTATCAGAGAAATTCTATTAACTTAAGGGAAAAAGCTTTTAGTTTACCATCAAGAGGTAATTTAAGGCTAGAAGGCTGGAGATTGTGCTAGTATAAAAGTAGATACCTCTAGCTATTTTTACTAGCTCTTACTAGGTTTTTTTTTTTTTTTGACTAGCTTTAGTAGTAACTCAAGATGCAGTGGTAAACCTACTAGTCAGTTTGATGAATTTTTGGAAACAAAGGCAGTTCTCAGCAGTAAATACTCATTCACAGTAAATCTATGTACCCTGTCACTCAAAGTTAAACTTTCATCACAAATGCATAATTTTTTATTTATGCATAATTTTATTTTATTATATAGAATGAGGGAATATCTGTTCCATCCTATTTGGAAATTGGACATTCAGTCTGAGGGTGGAGGAAACTGGACCCCAACATTTGAGAATCTATAAAGTCACACCTCTTATGTATACTTTCTATTGGAAAAATCACTAACAGCAGCTTCAACAATTGAATACTATTGTTCTCACACAAAAAGCAATTAAATGTGTGGTGTGTAGTGTAGCATCAAAGAAGAAAGAAGTGAGTAAAGTCCGCTTTTCAATTCAGACAAGATAAGCTTCCATAGAAAACAAATCAATTAATATGGCAAAAGTGGTAGCACAAGATATGTGAGTATTGTGAAGGATATAGCATCTTTCTTACTTGTTTTGCTACAGCAGAAAACTTCATTACATGAAGTGTTTCATCATATGTGGAAGCACATTGACTAACGTTGACAATCATGCAGGCTTTGCCTTTACCACAGAAAAATGGTTGGAAGAGACGAGTCAGTTTGCTCTCTCGGAAAGGAATATAAGTTGGCCTTAATCTTGGAGTAAAAATTATATAAATGTTAACTTCAGAATCAGGATAATTTGTAAAATCCAAATATGTAAGGTAAGAGTGAGAGAAAAGGAGAGATAAACATTTTTTTTGTATAACAATTGAAAAGTGTGATCTTTGAGAAATATACTGGCAAACAAAACAATTTGGTAAGTGTACAATAAACTGTTAAAAAAAAAACACTCCTGAAATATGATATAGATTTTGTATTTTTGTTATCTACTGCAGTAAATGTCAGTGTATATAGTTCATGCAGGGGTAGGATTCAACCAATGTTATTATCGGTTTGGTGACTATGTTTTGCTTCGCTGCGCATGCGTGTAAAAAAAAATCACCTGTGCCTCCCGGACAGTTGAAAAGCGCTGTGCGCGGATGTGCAGCATTTGTGCAGCATTTGAAAAGCCTTTTTTTCCTGCTTTTTCAACCTCAGCCGTGCTTTGCAAAGCAGCTGAGGTTGAAAAAGCAGGAAATAAAGGACAGGTAAGAGCCCAGGTGGGTGGGTGGGCCAAACAGCAGCAAACACAGTGTCTGCTGCTCTTCAGAGCTACTGGTTCTATAGAACCGGGCAGAACCGTTAGCATCCCATCCCTGAGTTCATGAACTGGAATAGACATGGCAACAGGTCAGCCAATGGGGACTGTTTGAATAAACATGGCATCAGATCAGCCAATGGAGGCTGTTTGAATACTGAAACATAGTATTTGTTTGTATGGGGCCATAAGAGACAGTTTGGAATCTGGGCGTGGCTTTGACTTATTGAACTGTATATAAGAGTTGATTTGTCCTCTGTAACCTAGGCCTCTGTAAATCTAAGCCTCTATATTTCTCTACTCTGTAATTACTTGCTTCTGTGAATATTGCTTCTGTGTTTCTGATTTTGTATGCTGACTTCTGCTATATGGTATTGTATATAAAGAAATTTTTCTTATGTGGATGAATCCTGTAGAATTATTTACCTGTGTCCTGGGCAGGGCAACTCTGACAGTAGTATTATGCCACGCTATCACAATAGACTGTTTTAACTATCCTTTCATATTATTTGACATTATTAATACATTAAATAGTTTTAAACTGAAGTTGTACCAAGGTTTATCTATATTACTTACTTTGTGTTTTGATTTTGTTTTAGAGCTGCAATGCATTTTCCAAGAATAAGAAGAGAATTATTAATATTGCCAGCTTCTTTCAGTCTGTCTCCAAAGGTTTGAGCTTTATGGCATCTTTCTGAACCAGCCAGGTCACAGAGAGAAAGTCTGTACAAATCAACACATCCATCTGATTTCTTTTGATCTTACACTTGTTGAAATAAATGAGAGCAACTGTTTTCATTAAGATAGCTAAACTGTAAGGCTGTAATTATGTAAATGAATTCACTCTTAGCTATTATAGTACAATTCTGTAGCAAACAAATATATGCACATAATGATTAATGGCCTTATTGCTACTTGTCTGGACTACTGCAATGTAATCCACATGAAATTGCCTTTGAAGACAATCCAGCAACTGCACTGGAGTTAAAATGCAGCAGTCTGGTCATTGGTAGATGCCTGCTACTTCTTTTAGATACTTTCAACATTTAAAAGCTGTATTGTGAATCTTACATTGCCTGCCAGTAAGTTCTAAGTACACTCAAAAGTGCTTATTTTAACCTATACAACTTTGTATCACTTATGTTTAGATACCAGCGGGAGTACCTTCTCCAACTAGATGCAAACTGTCAAATGCATTTTTCCTGAGAAAAACTACTGGTATCATCACACTTCGATGAAGTGAGTATGGCTGAGGCTAGCATAGCACAGCACAGCACAGCACAGCACAGCACAACACAGCACAGCACAGCACAGCACAGCACAGCACAGCACAGCATAGCATAGCATAGAATTCCTTATTGGCCAAGTGTGATTGGACACACAAAGAATTTGTCTTGGTGCAAATGCTCTCAATGTATGTTAAAGAAAAGATACATTTGTCAAGAGTCAAGAATCATAAGGTACAATACTTAATAATAGTCATAGGCCAGGATCCCCTCTCCCATTATAGCCTTATACTTTGAATCTTTGTTTGAAAGTAAGGCTAATTCCTTCTTCAGTTACTTTGCAGAATTTAGTTAAAACAAAGATCTTCTGAAGGGAAGTTTGGAACTAATGGGATGTTCTCAACTATTGTATATGGGTTTTTTTGTTGTTGTTACTGTGAGTCTTAGAAATTTGACATCATACAAATACAACCAATCAATTAATCTACATTACTGTACTCTATCATTAGTGAAGTGACACTTACTCAGAGATTCCAAGAGTACATGGCACATCTTCATCACTCAAACTGAGGAGTCGAATAGAAAATATACTATGACTAGAAAAAAAACAGATATGTTGTGTTCTAATCTTTGTCAAGAATTTTAATATTTAATTGTGGCATATGAATAGCATAACTATTATTAGTTTGGAAAAGTATTTGAGTAAACTAGTGGACTGTACTAGTAAACTAGTAAACTGGTGGATTGTCCTAGTGGACAACCACTTAAATATGAGGCAACACTGCACTGTGCTGCAGCTGGCAAAAAAGCCAAAAGTCCTAGGCTGTATTAACAGAGGAATATAATCCAAATCACATGAGATCTTAATACCATTTCATAATAGTTCACAGAGGAAAACTGAAATCTGCCAAAAACTGTGGGTGGAAGGATTTTTTTTTTTTTGCAGTTCTTTAGTGTAAGCTGTAGTCAATCCTGTGTGCATACCTTCTTCATTCCTTGTTCATCATACCAGTTATTATACCTTGCATGCAATGTCATTAGCTCAAGAAGGAAGAGTAAAACTAATTTAAAGGAAGCAAACCTTCGGCTAGATTGCTGGTTCATCTTGGTGCATGCCAAGCTTCTATTCTTGTTTCCTATTTTAAGTATTTTACAAGCCTCTTCTGAATTTGAAACATTGACCCATTTTAAATCTGGGAAAGAAGATAACATTAGCATACATTAAAAATGAAACTATAGCTCTATTTATTCACTGTGAAGATATAACAACTTGTTGCTTCTTTGCAGTGCATTCCTATACATGACTATTCAGAAAGTACTCCTGCTGAGTTCAAACTCACCCTGCTTTTGAATATAGTGGATAAGAAAATAGACACAGGTTTCTTTTTTATGCACAGAAAACTTAAACAGAATAAAAAGATGACACAAGATGAATAAAAGAGAATAAAGTGATGACATAAGATAGGGTTTTGACTTCTTATGAAGCTGAGAATCAGTATAAAAGGCATATTTTACTGCCCAGAGTTATCCCACTGTTTTTGAGCTGAAATTTCACGCTAATTTTTGTGACAGATTTCTATTTATAAAATAATATTTAAATCCTGGCCTGAGTTACATATACCTAACAAGAACCCTACACATTCAATAAAGCTGTTGTTAAGATTAACCAAAAAAATCAGCAAATGTGATTATTAACAAAAAAATATAACACTGTTTTATAGGTTATAGAACAACCAATTTACTATGCACTCTTATCCAAGCTGTAACTTGGAAACCAACAGAAGTTAATACAGCTGTCATCTTCTATTATGAAAAAGGATTTTCATTAAATAAGAGACCTTAAGCTAGGTTACTTGCATTTGAAAAAGTAACAAACTTTGTATGAAACTAAGCCTTTGTTTTCTGCAATAAGCATTTTCTGAATTTACCTAAGAGGAGAAATAGATTTCATCTGCTATTGCAAAAATTGCTTATGCTTTTAGTGCTGGACAATATCCTAAGAACTAACAACCGGGCTACCAAAATAATCACTGAAACTTATGTTAGACCCAGGAATTATCTAGCTAGATGAGTAACAATAAAGTGGCACTGTTACCTTTAATGTAAAAGTTTCCTCCTTGATCCTCACAGATTCTTAAAACTTTACGCTTCTGATTTTTCAAGACTGGTAGTAAGTCCAGTAAGTCATAAATATATTCATTATAAATTTCAAAGAAGGAAACCCAAAGTGATGCCAAGGTTTTCTGACCAATGGTGTAAGCCTCTGATTTTACAGATTCAGTCTTGTAATCTGTTTACAAAAGTTTGAAGGATAGCAAAAAGAATAGAAAGCAACACTTATTCAACAAACCAATTGCATTTTATTCATATTTATAGATACATTATTATCCCTGTCATTTTATTCATATTTATAGATACATTATTATTCCTGTTTTGTGCTAGTATTAAGGATCTAATTTCATGGCTAATTCATGCTTCAGAATCTTGGCTTTCAAGATCTGGTGGAAAACATATAGCTTTGTTTTGACACATTCCATAATAATACACTAAATTTCTGCATTTATATCTATCTATCTATCTATCTCCAGTGCATGATACTTTTTCACATTATCCTAACAATATATACACATGCACACATACCACACACACACACACACACACACACACACACAGATACACACATACTGTAAAGAGAGAGAGAGAAAAAAAGAAAGAATACTCATTATTTACTTTACCTAACTGGTCCAAAGGAAGGTTTGGTGAGTTGTAGCAATATGACATTGAATCTGAAGGTTTCCAAATATTTTCAGTTTCCTTAAAAATATTGTATAGATAAATATGGTTTTTTTTTTTAAAAAAAGCTATTATAGCTTCTAATGAATCTAGCATTAAAATGCATATTCCCCAAAACTTCACATATATGTTTTTCCGAGAACACTAAAACATGTCAAGATTTCCCAGAGATTAACAAGTTTTTCCATTCTCATATATGTATGTATGTATGTTTTCTGAAGTTTTCGCGGGTATTTGTATGTGGATCTTTGGTTATTTGGGTTTTCTCCCGCGTATGGAAGTATCTAGGCGACGTTTTGAAGTCGTCTCATTCATCATCTTAGTGATTAGAGTGTTTAGTGCAAATAGTGTGATTACTGACTAGTTTAAAAGATCAAGATTCATGTAATTTAATTGATTAGTAAAATCAGTGATTTAGCGAATTTAATTGAACAGTGTGACTAATGAGTAGTGTAATTAATTGATTAGTGATTAGTGTAATTAATTGATTAGGTTGATTGTTGCTTAGGAAATTATCTGACTAGAGAGATTACTGCAATTGATTGATTGGTGTGATATTGGCTATATTGATTACCCAAAATTGTTCCATTAATTAATTCAATCAACGTACTATCTTAACAAACCTACCATGCCAAGAAAAAAATCCAATGTCAAACCACAACCTAAAGAGAAATTAATCCCCACCAATGAACCACAAGACTCCTGCACATGCCTTAAATGCTACAAAACTCTAAAGGATAATGAAAACTCCATCAAATGTTCTCTGTGTAACAAATACGCTCATCATGACTGCTTGGGATTACCCGAGCAAATGATTCAATACCTAGAATCATGCAATGAGTTTCCATATCTCTGCAAATCATGCAGACCCAAACTGGATCTGTTGGAAAGAGTTGATACCATTGAAACACGATTAACATCCCTTGACACCATAGTAGCATCCTTGGACGCCTAAAAAGAAAGATTATCCAACCTTGAAAAAAAAGACACAACGCAAAAACCTGAACATCCAATAGCTACAAACCACATCTCTACCCAACAACCACAACCCAATCCACAACCCAATCCACAAAAAAACATAACCCAGACAATATTGGGATTGATATCCCAATCCTCATCAGAGAAGCTGTTGAGCGTGAACGGAAACGTCCAAATGCCATCTTATTTGGTCTAGAGGGCATCAATGATAATGATGACATCACAACTGTCCGAAACATCATCAGTGATTATCAAGCATCAACCATCTCCCCTGATGAAATACTTGACATTTCCCGCATTGGCTGAGAGCTCAAAAACAGAGACGGCTCTGTGACCCCACGCTTCTGCAGGGTCATTTGCAAAAATGAATCAAGCAAACGCAAATTCATTTACACTATAAATTCACTCGCCAAAACCAACACCAACCATAAGAACCTCCGTTGTCGCCCTGACCTAACCATACAGCAACGTGCCCGCTCCCGTGTACTCCGCACTGAACTCAAAAAACGTCTAGACAATGGTGAGAAGGACCTGTACATTGACTACCATGCTGACTGTATCAAAAGTAAGTCACACATCCCGCAACTCAGCTTTAACCTTCAACCACAACCCTACCTCAACCAATCCACCATCACCCAAGACTAGGCTTGCACGCCCCTAACTACCTCAATTCCAACTACTGCTGGCCTTAAATGCAAGCTACTCAATGCAAGAAGCCTTGTAAATAAAATACCTGAATTTTTCCTCCTACTAAATATGGCTAAATTCGACATTATATTTGTCTGTGAAACATGGCTCAATGCATCTCTCCCTGACTCCATTACCATAGTAAGAGACTATCATGTTTACTGATCAGATCGTGAAATTCGTAGAGGAGGTGGTGTTGCTATCTTCTATAAAAAGTCCTTACATCTAAAAAATATCCAAGTTACCCAGGAGCTTGCTCTTCCTGAGACCATTATCTGTGAACTATCCTTAAATATCACAATTCGATTCTTACTATGTTACAGAGCACCTGATTATGACATCGAACATGTAAACAAGCTAAATACACTACTAACATGGGCAGCATCCTGCCCATACCCTTTTATCTTTCTTGGTGATTTCAATCTACCTCATATTGACTGGACCCTAAATGAATGTACAACTGAAACCATACACGCAACCTTCTACAATGCTGTTAAAAATCTGGGACTGGAACAACTAGTAACCAACAACACTAGACTAAACAACTGCCTCGATCTCATCTTCTGCAATAGTTTGAATTTAATTTACGGAATACAAACTAAAGAACCCTTTTCCAGCAGTGACCACAATATGATTGACTTTTGTCTCAACATACGTCCACACAAAAACCACCACAATGATGTAATCCCCAATTATAACTTGAAAAAAGGCAACTATGATCTTATAGACAACAATCTCTCATCCCTTGATTGGCAATCTCTATTCACTGGATGCAGTACTGTTGAAGACCATTACAACATATTTTTACTTGAAGTCAAAAGAGTCATCAAACTATATGTACCAACAACAACTCCCAAAACAAAACAAAAAAACAGATTACCCATAACAATAAGGAAACTTCAATCCAAAAAGAAATCACTCTGGTGGAAAAACAAATCTGGTCATGTTGCCAATTTCAAAAGCCGATACAAAAATTTATGCCACCAGATAAAGACCGAATGCACCAATTATCACATTAAACAAGAGGAAAACCTTCTAAGCACCAATTCCACCCGTGCTTTTTACAATTTTGTAAACAACAAACTAAAAGATTCAAGGTCCATCCCACCCCTGATAGGACCTAATGGTAAAGACTGCAACGACAACACCATAAAAGCCAACATCTTTAACACATTTTTCGGCTCAGTATTTGTAAACAGCAATGGATCATGCCCAGTATTTCCTAGCCGAACCACAGATAACTACAATGATCTAATACATATCGATTTTACAGAAGACAATGTTGGAAAAGCACTTCACAATCTAAAACCATCTCTATCTATTGGACCGGATGGAATATGTGCCTACTTCTTAGCCAAACCTCTAAGCATAATCTTTGAAAAATCTTTCAGAACCAGTTCCTTGCCTAACCTATGGTCACAAGCCACGGTCATCCCCATCTTCAAAAAGGGAGACCCCAGCCTAGTTGAAAATTACAGACCAATTTCCTTATGCTGCGTCACCTGTAAAGTCATGGAATCAATTATTAACCAATCCATCATCCTCCACTTAGAGACAAACAACCTACTCTCCAATAAACAATTTGGTTTCAGAAAAAAACTATCCTGTAATCTGCAACTCTTACACTGCAAAAACATATGGACTACACAACTTGATCAGGGCAAAACAATAGATGCAATTTACATAGACTTCTGTAAAGCCTTTGATTCAGTGGTACACGACAAACTACTCCTAAAAATAAAATCCTATGGTATCTCTGGACAACTGCACAACTGGATAGAAGCATTCCTGTCAAACAGACAACAAATGGTCAAAATTGGGAACGTCCTATCAAATTCTGTACCTGTCAATAGTGGTGTCCTCCAAGGCAGTGTTCTAGGACCAACTCTCTTCATACTCTACATAAATGACCTCTGTGATCATATTAAGAGCAACTGCGTTCTTTTCGCTGATGATGTAAAGCTGTTCAATACCACAGACAATACTGCTACCCTTCAAAAAGATCTTGACTATGTATCAGAATGGTCAAACAAATGGCAACTTCAAATCTCAACCAATAAATGCTCTGTCTTACATATTGGCAAAAAAAAATCAGAAAATAAAATACAACCTGAATAGTCAAGATCTTGTTGATGATCCAAGCTCTGTAAAGGACCTTGGAATACTCACCTCTAATGATCTAAGTGCTAGAGCCCACTTCAACTACATAGCCAAAAAGGCATTAAGAGTTGTTAACCTAATCCTACGTAGCTTTTTCTCTGGTAATATCACACTATTAACTAGAGCATACAAAACATTTGTTAGACCAATACTTGAATACAGCTCATCAGTCTGGAACCCACATTACGTATCTGATATTAGCACAATTGAGAAAGTCCAGAAATATTTCACAAGAAGAGTTCTCCACTCCTCTACTCATTGTAGAATACCTTATGCCACCAGACTTGAAATTCTAGAACTAGAAAACCTTGAATTACGCCGTCTTTGGTCTGATTTAAGCATGGTATGTAAAATCATACATTGCAATGTCCTGCCTGTCAATGAATACTTCAGCTTCAACCATAGCAACACAAGAGCACACAATAGATAAAAACTCAAGGTTAACCACACCAAGCTTGATTGCAGGAAATACGACTTCAGCAACAGAGTGATCAATGTCTGGAATACTCTACCTGACTCTGTAGTTTCTTCCCCAAACCCCAAAAACTTTAACCTTAGACTGTCTACTATTGACCTCACTCCTTTCCTAAGAGGTCACTAGGGGGCGTGCATAAGCGCACCAATGTGCCTACCGTTCCTGTCCTATTGTTTCTTTTATTTTTCTTTTATTTTTCTTATGTACCCATTTCATGTATTCATAACTATGTATACACTTATACTTATCTTGTAAACAATTGACAAATCAAATCAAATAAATAAAATAAATAAATAAATCTTCAGGCTTGTGTCTTCGGCTTTGTGCTTCTCGGAGTAATGTGAGCTTGCAGCTGCTTCTTCCTTTTAACTGCTAGTGGGGGTTTGACTTGATTGGGTGGGGGCTTGGCTGTGTTCTGATTGGGTGGGGGTGTGTTCTGATTGGTTGGGGGTTTGGCTGTGTTCTGATTGGTTGGGGGTTTGGCTGTGTTCTGATTGGCTGGGGGTGTGTTCTGTTCAGGCACAACCAAGCCCCCACCTGAACAGAACACACCCCCAGCCAATCAGAACACAGCCAACCCCAACCCCCCAACCAATCAGAACACAGCCAAACCCCCAACCAACCAAGTCACACCCCCACTAACAGTTAAAAGGAAGAAGCAGCTG